TCTTTACGGACAGTCGTGCCAGGTGTCTTCTGTGCTTAGGGGAGAAACGTGTGCATACATGCTCCTTGCTGTTCAAATCTCTTTCAAATTACACAATAAAGCAGAGCGCGAGATCCTCCTGGCCTAGGCAGGCTCCCTGGTCAAGCCCACCTCCTGGGTGACAGTCTCACCCCAGCAATGCCTGTTGTTCCTCCTTCTTGTCCTCCAGAATCAGAGCTGCAGCTTGAGCTTCCATATGTAGGAGGACTCAGGCCACAGCTAGACACCTCCCTTCGTTGTCCCCTCTGGCCCCATCCAGCCACATACAAACAGGGGAGAATCAGCATCTTCCTACCGAAGACAGGTTTCTCCTCCTAAACGTGGGCAAAGGTGAACAGGCTTCACTGGCTGGCTGCTTTAAAGAGTGATGTTCAAAGAAATGCAGATCAGATGGCCTGCCAAAAACAAAGAGTTGACCTAGACCCCTGCGTCAGCCGCAAGACTGATTTTAGTTCGACATGGAGAAAGGCACCCCCAGAAGTCATCAATGCTTCAACATTCTTGCCAGTTAAGCACGTATTTTTCTTACCTGCTTGACTATTTCCATTGGTGGGATCTACTTCTCCAGCTGAGATCCTCCCTTACTGGAAGTTAATTCTCTGTGAGAGGAACCTGTGGAAGCTGCGGGTTGGCAGCTAGACCCTCTGCTACCTGCAGCTCCTCTGAGATGAGGCTTCTGCTGCAAGAAGTCCAGCATTTTTCTACAGTCAGTCAGACATACTGCTCGCTCTGGGGCCGGTGCAGGTGTGCGGTAGGCATGCTGATCCTTGGTGATCCGGGAGGGATGGCTGAGCCTTGCAGGGCTGCGGGTCCCAGCGTGCTGTGCTGGAGCGGTGCGGGCCCTCAGCGCCTTCCAACAGCCGTCCCAGCAGAGGTGTCGGAAGGAAGGCGGAAAGGAGGGTAAAATCTCCCCCGCCACAAACCGACCTGCCCTGTGAGAGGCTGGTGTGTCAGCCCACAGCACGCAGAGAGCAGGAGGAGGCCAAGTGGTGCTCCTTCTTCGGTTGCCTGAACCCAGGGGTAGAGTCCTTCATCTGCAGGAGCTCTGGCGACGTTTGCACAGTTCCAACAGCCCCGGCTGAGCAGCGCAGACGTGGTGAGATTTGTAGTTCAGTTCTGCTGCTCTGCAGTGGAGGTGCTTTCTGACTGTCACTTTGGCTCTTCTGAACCGCAGCGAGTGGCTGTGCTGACTGTCTCTTGCTGATGCTTCCTCCAGCTCCGCTCCCCCGCTGCTCGGAGAGAGCAGGGTTCCTCTGTCAGTACTTCTTAGAAATGAGCCCTGACTAATTTCAGGAATTGAAGCTAGATTCACTGTTCCGTATACAAGCCGCAATGACAGATACTGTCTAATTAGACTAATAGTCACCTGATACAGAAAAGAAGAAAAATGGTTACTTACGCTACAGTAATTATGGCTCTTCCAGGCACGTTCTCTGTAGAGGCACCACAACTGATCTCTTGTCCTTTGCTCTGAAGGAGTCTTTACTGCTGGCAGACCCCAGAGAGGTTAGACTGAGGCATCCTGAGCTTAGTTTGCTCCATTACTGCCCTGGGCAGCAGCAGCTCCTGGCTTCCTTGGGCTGCACGTGTTCATCCTCCTACTTCCCAAACCAGGATGCCAGTCTGCGTTCCAGCTTTCCAGTCCTCACGCCGCTCTCCGAGCTAGGACATCAGCTCTTGCCTGCGCATTTCTCTCCCGTGGCCCCGCTCCCTTTCATCAGACCTTGCCCCCTCCTTCTTGTCGGCAGCTAAAACCCTGCGGCTGCGGCCGCCTCAGGCGTGCGGCGAGGTGCATGGCACAGCTCGGGGCCCTCTGCCTCATGCTGCTGTCGGGAGCGTTGGGAGGCTTCAGGGGCACGGCCTGGATGGACGTTGCTGTCTTCAGAGCGCTTGGTCCGGTGCGTGCGAGTACACGCGCACCTGGGATCTGCGTGGACAGCTCTGCTTACAGGGTCGCACTTTCCGTAGGGTAAGTAACCGCTTTTCCTTTTGTTTCCTTGAAGAAACATCCAAAACCCGGGATGACTCTGTAACATTATTAAATCCGTAATCAGCTCCACCATTATTGTGACTCTGATGTTTCTAGGACCCTTCCTCTGGTTTAAACTGACTCATTGCAGGAACTGAAGCTAGATTCACTGTGCTGTATGCAAGGTGCAGTGACAGATGCGATGCTCTCAACACTGTTCTCGTTGGTACTCTCTTAATTTGAAAGAAAATAACCATGGCAGTGGTGCTTTCCTTCACTGTGCTTGAACCTCTTAAGAAAAGTAAGAAATGCAAGTTAGGAGGAGGATTATTGGTTGTATTCGTGTAATGTCTTCATTATCCTTTCAGTATAAATATCAAATAATGTTTTAAAACATTTTCAAGGGAAACTGTTTTTTTCAGATTTTGAAAGATGAACTGTGAATTTTGAAAAAAGTATGTTACTCTTTTAATACTAAAAACAGGAGTGAATGATTTAGCGTAGGGTTTGGGGGCACTTTTTTTTTTAATTATCTGACTCCATAGATGGTAGAAATTCAAATACTGTCTAACCTGGAATTATCTGGATGTTAGGAAAGTTAGTAAAATTAGTGCCTCATGGATACTGGAAGATCTGGTAAATTCTAGGAATTGTAATCTGACAAATTATAGAAGTCGTATTTTGTTACCTAGTTCCCAAGTGGGTTTTGGGCATGTGCAGGTGACAATGCTTTCTGCAGTGTAAAGCTTCTCTACTTCATGTGGAGAATAATTTGAGCTTTATTATTCATTAAAAATTGTTCCTAAATCATCTAGTTGAGATGAAGACTTAGTAACACTTTAAGCAGTTATGAGAAGAATGGATCATCTTTGTTTAGTATTCTGCCTCAGCAGAGATTTTCTAGCACCAAAAGCTACTGAGAAAGGTGATCTAAAAATCAGTATTATCATGGACAACTTCTGCATTCTGTGCATAAGAAAAAGTTTTTTGTGCAATAGCAGATTTATTGTTGCAAAGTGTAGGATTTTTTTTATTTTCTGTTTTCACTTAATGCTGTCAAATGTAGCAATTTTTTTCATTATTCATACAAACTTATTCCCTTTTGTGTGCATGTTGTTAAGCTCTTTGCTTAATAATGGTCTTACAGAAGTTGATATCCTGGCTAATTGTAGGTATAGCATTGCCCTCATCTGGAGCCACTGCATTGTGATTTTGCCATATTCATAAGGTAATGAATAAGAGTACCTGACCTTCCTCCTTCATTCTCTTCAGCATTTGAACTACATCTGGTGTTTATCATGCTTATTTACTTGTTCCAGTTGCTTCATTTTCCCCTGATACAATAATCTGTCCATGCCTCTAATGGCCCGCCTCTGAGGGCATCTGCTTTTTGCTAGAGCGACTTCAGATATGTGGCGAGAATTGAGTACCACAAGCATTTAAGAGAAAGTGTTGAATGCTGTTGAGAGCACATTATAATATTTTAGATAGAATTTGGGGGATTTTTTCGAACAGGAAATAGTCTGTAAATACAATAGTGATCCACAAGGACTTAGTCCATTACATTTATGTGGCTGTCTTAAATAATGTCTACTTACTGTGAGCTGCTTTGGTAGAAACATCTGGATAATGAAGCTCTTCCTTTCTGCTGCCGTAGTGGAAGTTGTTGAGCTAGGCATCGCAGGGTAACTAATTCGTAAATGTCTTGCTAGGACAGGGAGTGAAGGGTCGTCAGCATTTTCTCCTTGAAACAAGGTGACTTGGGGACATCCAAAGGAGGAGGTGAGGGTTGTGACCTCTCTCTTGCTCGTTAGTTGAAAACGAAGCTTTCACTTTTTCTTTGGGTCCTGGAGCTCTTTCTACCACCTCCCTGTACATACAAAGCCCCAAATAAATGCTCCTCAGCTGTCCGCAAGCTTCACTCAGTTGCTGTGAAGCGCTTTTGCCTTTGATAGGTGTTGAAGAACGGTGGTTTGCTCACGTTCATGCTTACCAGCAGAAGAGGCTGGGGCTGTGCGAAGCTGGGCTTCGTACCGAAATGAAGAGTACTGGAACAAATGGGAAGTGAGAAGGGAAAATAGTTTGTGTGGGGAACGGCGGGAATGTTACATTGCTCCAGGGCTCCTGCCAAATCCTTTCAGCCTGCTGTGCCACGTGGGGTATCTGCGCTGTGCAGGGCTTTGCCCTTACATATCTGGAAGAGTTGGAGGGGATAAACCTGCCCGTTACAATGAGGCGCTGAACATGTTTTCCGCGTGTACCTGTGTCATCCAGGTGGCCTTCTATCAAGAGATGGAAGATGTGCTACAGATTTACAGAAGGATGGTGGCAGGGAAAAGGGAGATACAAGGGAAATTCCAGAAGGGCCCTCTGGATTTGCTCAGGCACACCTAGACTTGCCCTCTATTGGGATTTACCTGTAGCATGTACATCATTAAAAGGCTTTATTATTTTTTTAAAAATTAATTTTATTTTCCTTTGCAGGTCACCTTTTAAGCTGCTATTTCCTGTATAATTAAGCAGAATGAAGGCATTAGGTTCTAGTAAAGTTGGGCCTAATCCAGAAATCTTCTCTTATTCAGTCTTTTCTGAGTAAGAAACTCAAGTCTGGGCCCAGCATTTTACGTGTTTCACTGTTACTTCTAAATTATTTGTGGTCTGTGGAATTTTTTTTGTTTTGTTTTTAACTTTATTGAAAACTCCTTTGCTTTTGTCTAATTTTATCTCTTTATGTGTTACTATCCGGCATAGCGTTAGTTGAAATGATGTAAGTATACCGCAAATTGAAGTGCATAATTGCTACTGATAATGCAAGAACGATTGATTCCTACGGTTTATAATTAACAGTACATAATGTTCTGTGCATGGGTTGGATCTATCCCTTTTAACTTTTCCTTTTCGATTCTTCCCAACCCCTGGTCTTGCCGCATCCCAGCCTTTCTGAATATACTGGTTTCGCTGGAGTCTAGTCCATTCTTCCTTTTGTTTTTCAGACCAGTAAAAATGGGAAGTACTGGATTCTGGTTTCCTCCAAGAAGAGTCAGCGGAACTGGTTAAGACCAAAATCTGAGGACTTTAGTGGGCAAACATCAGGTGTGCATTGAACAGAGGCTGCTTTAATCCTGCTTTTAAGTATATGCTTCTTTAAAAATAGTATTATATATGAGCTTTTGTGTAATGTGTTTGTTATATTTGATACTGCATATAATCATTCATCCTGCAGTTGTGAAAGCACCAATAAGAATGAGGATTTTAAGTGATAATAATGTTGAGACACAAAACAGGCATTATTACTCATAAAATTCTTTCAGCTGGTCTTTGGAAAGTGTAATATTTGAGGATCAGTGTTTTTTTAAGTTTTATCTCCATTGCTCAGTCTGTATATCCACAAGAAAAAAAGGAAGTGGTTATTTGCTATTCAGAGATCAATACTGAAATTCTTGATTGCCTCATCTGTTGAGAAATGCTATTGAGATTATAGTGCATATGTGTTTTTTTTTAATAAAACGCTGTTGTTGTCAAAGATTGGATCCACACTATATTTGTTCTAATGATGCATTTTTAAGGACCCTTAAACACAGTTCAAAGTCAGCTTAATTAGTTTTGATCATAGAGGAACAAAACCTGAATTCTTCATCTGTGTGAACGTTCTGAGTTACATATGGTACAGCAACTGGGTTACCTGAAGTTTTGGAGAAGGAAACAGCAGTGTTATATTGGCCTGAACATAGGATGGGCTCCAGCCTGAGGTGCGATCCTTGCCTTGGGAACAGGAGCGAGGAGTTGTCAGAGCTGTGAATTTAACAGTTAAGCCTCACATGCAGTTGCACTGCTTTTGGCCTCGCATCAGACCCTGCGTATGACCCTTCTGCATGGCCTGGTATCCTACATCTCCCCAGCCTGGTGCACGTTCAGCTGCTTCCCACTTGCCCCTGGCATTACCAGCTCACCCCGTGTCCTCGGATGTTCCCGACGCCTGCGCAGCGCTCCCCGCACCTCCCTGGCCCCACAGCTCCATCCTAGCATCCCCACATCCCCCAGAACCAGCCCGTTGTCCCTCCCCGTGGCTGCTCACCCTCTGTTCCACCAGCCTGCCAGCCGTGCCTGGCTTCCCTTGTCGCTGGCTGGGCACGGAGGCCGCTCGCTGCTGAGCTCCGCACCCAGCATGGTCACACGAACAAGGCTCCCGGGCAGCAGACTGGAGGTGAGGGTCTCTTCGCCCTTTGCCACTGGTACTGCCTGCCCCGCTCAGGCTAGCTGTGCCTTTGGCAGGGAGGACAGAGGGGCTGTAGTCCTTTCTTGCTCCTTGAGACCCTTGGTGCCTTGGCCATGCAGTGGGGGCCACGGCTGCTGCGCTGACAGCTCTCGGGTCTCACGTACGTGCCCGTGGGGTATAGATACACCCTGGGTAAGCATAGAGTGGGTTGGATTTTTTTTTCTCCCCCAGAACTTCATTTGTGAGGAGAGATTAGGCTAAAACAAGATTTCATTCTATATTCAGGCCAATATGCATAGAAGACCAGTTGGTTCATTTCTAGGAAAGTACAATTAATTTTATTACCTGATTCTAATTAAAATATATGTTGAAAAATCTACCAGTCCACACATTTATCAGAACTTTGGTGTGAATCAGACCTTCCTTTTGATTACATTAAAGTCTTTGGAACTGGTCTTCATTTACTTCTATTGCAGAAACAGTTTGGTCTCAGGTCTCCAAACAACTGTTTCATTTTTTCACTTACGAACTAGAAAGCTGCTTATGAAACAGAAACTAAAATTAAGCTGATTCTTTGAAGACCTGTCCATGTTCCCACTCATGGAATTGATGTCTCTTCATCCCGTGAGTCGGAACGGGTCAGAGACAAAGCTGAAATGATAAGAGTCCTTAAAGAAACACCTTTTCTGTCACTGGGTGTCTTTAAAGAGGTTAGTGGTTCCATGTAAAATCTGAGGGAGTAAAGGTGGCCTTACAAAACTTCTTGCTTAAAGAAAGTAGTGCAGCTTAACCTGCCATTCAAGGACCATAGGGTTGAAAGGCAGCAGTTTCCATCTCGATGTGCCAGTGTTTCTCTCCTCTTGTAAAGACAAGGGAGGAGTTTTCGTTTCCCGTGGAAGTCTCAGTTTGAAGCTTTCATAAAATGCAGACACTGAAGAGGGGCACCCCCTTCTCCCTATCCCTGCCCACCCCCCCC